GGTGTGAATAGGCGTCGTATATGTCACCCCGCAGAATAGATCCTTTGTAAGTCACAGGGTTTCTTCGCCAGACTTCGCTGTTGCTCTTCACAACTGCTTGCTCCTCCCCTTCATCCGATTGGTGTTGCTCGCTGTTCTTTCGCAACGAACCTTCAAGTGTGGTTGCCGAGGCGATTAGAAGACGACTACGAAGTGTCTTCGAAGGTGACCCCTCCCTCCTGATTATGCCACTAGTCTTTTTTGAGCGTGGTGCCTCGTTGATAACCAGCGGCTTCAATCGTGGTAAGTGAGTTGTTGCTTTCGGGCTTCGGGATTTTCGGTTCAGTCTAGACGCGGGTTCTCCGTGCCAGATTAGCAGGAGGACGACGACAGTGGAGGCGGGAAGAGGAGGAGGAGGAGGTGGAGGGGGATGGGGAGGTTTCAGTTTTTCAGGCGATTGTTGCCATGAGCTTTCGGAGACCTCCACGGACTACGGACCACTCTTGTTTCGGAACCGCTGTGGGGTTTTTCTGGTCCTGCATCGCGATTTAATTAAGACGTTCTTCGCGATTCTCAGCGCCACCGTGGCCGAAAAAGGGCGCCTTTTTCCCATCGTAGAGTTCCTGATTGCAAGCGCTTGACTGAATGCATGCTGGGAGTAGAGGAGGGGATTATGACGCTCGTGGGTTTTATGCCTTGGTGCATGAAGCTTTCAATCATGCCGGAGCTGCCGCGACGCTTGGTGGCGCATAGCCATCCTCGTGCCAGGATGTCAGCGTGCAGATCAGAGAGGAGAAGGGATGATCTTGGAGAAGGGGAGGAGAAGACGGAGATTGAGGAATTGGGGAAGGAGTTGCAGCGGTATTTGTATCCATGTATGTGTGTTGCCTGCTGGTTCATCACATTTGATTGTGCACGGTTTGACTCAGTAGGCGCAACGGGTCCATTGTTTCTGGTGTTTCGCCTTGAACTGCGCATTACGTTGTCAGGGAAAGATCGCCTTCGGTGGTCGCTTGCAGGGGTGGAGGAGGGATTACCCCCCACCCTCCCCTCTCGAAGAGGGTAGGGGGTCACGACCCCCTCTCCACTCCCGCGCTGGCAATCGACCACGCCGGGCGACGACGACGACGCGTCGTTGTCCTTTGCTGGCGCGTGGGGGAGGCAGGGTTTGTAGTTACCCGCCCTTCTCCCTGCATCGGGGCGGGGAAGGAGTCAAGTCATAATCCCCCCCTTCCCGCAAGCGGGGAGGGGGGAGACGGGGGACGATTGTCAAGCTAGGTGCGCTCCCACCTCATCTGACATCCTTTCCCTCCTTCCCATCCCTTCCCACGGTGCTAATTTTTCATTATCCACGGACGCGTGTCATAGCCGTCATGCGATTCCCACAGACAGACCACTTCCTGGCATGCGCAATCGAAACAAGGGGAGCTGCATGCACAAAAGGAGGAGGATGAGGAGGTGGCGGGTGAGCAGGAGGATGAGCAAGAGGAATATTAACTCAAGCGGAAGTGCAGAAAGAACAGCAGGACCAGGGGAAGGCGGAGCAGGGGAAATGACCGGGGCGACAACGATAAAGAAAGACTCGGAGTCAAAACAGTGGCCCTCGCCGGGGCGAGACGAACAGCAGCAGGAGGAACCTGGATTGGAAGGGGCGAGAGGAACAGGAGGACCAGGGGAAGGCGGAGGAGGGGAAATGAGGTGGGGACCACAGTTCAGCTAGGCGCGGATCCAGAAAAGTGGCCCTCGCAGGGGCGAGAGGGCCATTCCGAACGACGGGAGCAGAGAGCGCCGGTCCAAAAATGATGCCCCCGCTGCAGCGGGAGCACCACTCTGACACACCGGAAGCAGTCGGATTACAAAACACCACGCTGCAAACAACAAAAACAATGTTTAACATTCTGTGCGTAGAACAGCACGTGGAGGAGGGCTGGCCATTTTTTCTCATCTTCTGAGGGGAGAGGATCGGGGCTTCTTCAACGGGGGTTTAGCTAAGCTAAACGGGGGCTGAGGCTTTTCCATCTGCCCCCGTTTACTGTACCCCCGTCCACGGCGCCCAGGGCCCCTTGAACGGGGGCATAGCCAAACGTGGAAATCGGCGCTCCCCGTGCCCGCGTTAAGTGTTCATATTCTGCAATGTTTGGGGGGGTTGCGGGGGGTGGCAGGGAGAGGTCCCGGCTTCGTGGTCCGAGTTTCCATTCAGGCGCCCGTGAATCGTGTTTTTGTTGTTCTCTCTCGTGGGCGATTTTCTACTCATTGTTTTGCCGATCGGCGCGGGCCCTCGCACCCCACCCTCCCCTTCCCCCATGGAGTAGATCTTGGTTGTTTTTTGGCGCCTGTTTCGAGCAGGTGGAGCCTCCCCCATAGGACGCACGGTCTCAAGCAGTCGCACTACGTCTGGGTTAGACGTGTTATTTGGCTTTGTAGCAAGCCGTTGATGATGATGATGCTGCTGATGATGATGCTAATGATGATGCTGACGATGATACTGATGCTATTGCTGCTGATGATGATGATGATGATGATACTGGTGATGGTGATGGTGATGATGATGATGATGATGATGCTAATGCTGATGCTGATGCTGATGCTGATGATGTTGATGTTGTCACCCCGTTCGAACGCGACCGATCATTGCAATGCTTCTGGAAAAAACAACGCGCCGTTGGACAGAGGGCGCGCCCTGGCAGCCCCGCGGCTTCCCTTTGTGTGGAGAAGTGCGTAGAGCTGGTACAGCTGTACAACTGGTCATAGAAAAAGTCATAGGACTGGTCCATTACAAATTGGTGCGGCATAGAACTGGTCCAAATTCTAAAGAGATATTATCCCAGTGCGACCCTACCTATGAGTTGGAGCCTCTAGGAAAGCAACTATAGCAGCAGCAATAGTGGATGCTGTGCTGCGCTATGCTATGCTATGCTATGCTATGCTATTCTGCGCAATGCTATGCAGGGCTAGGCTAGGCTATGCTATGGTAGGCTGCGCTATGCTATGCTGCGCTATGCTATGCTATGCTATGCTTTTGCTTTGCCTTCGCTGTTGCCTTCACTGTTGCCTTTGCTTTTGCTTTTGCTTGGCACCCAGGGAGCGCAACTGGGGGAACCGCGCGTTTGCTTTTACCTTTGCTGTTGCTTTTGCTTGGCTTCCAGGGGACTGGGGGAACCGCCCGGGGCGATTTCCACCGACCAGTTCACCCTGTGTTTAATGGGCCATTTCTATGACCAGCTCTATCCAGTTGTACCAGTTGTACCAGCTCCACGCACTTCTCCACACTAAAGGAAGCCGCGGGGCTGCCAGGGCGCGCCGTCGCAGAGTTCCCGCGTGGCCAACTTCCCTAAGTGCGCGCGGTGCTGCGCTACCTTTTATTAGCAATACCGTTAATGCCCACCCACGTGGGCTACCTACCGCTTGCGCGTCCCCGGCGCAGGCTCTGACGTACGATTGTTACGCATGCCTGCGTGGCCCTCGATAGAAACGCTTGATGCGTCGCGTTTCCCCACCGGCCCAGCCAGAAACGATCGCCAGGCGAATCGCCCACCCGGCACGTTCTGTACGACCGCTCTTTCCGTTCCTTCCCCAGCACAGGCTCTGACGTACAATTGTCTTGTCACGCATGCTTGCGTGGTCCTCGATGGAAATGTTTGACGCTTCCCATTCACCCACCGGCCCATCCAGAGACAACCGCCAGGCGAATTGCCCACCCGGCACGTTCTTTGAGACCGCTCTGTCCGTTCCCTCCCTGGCCCAGGCTCTGACATACCATGGTTTTGCATGCTTGTGTGGTCCTCGGTATAATTTATTGACGCTACGCATCTACCCACCGGCCCTGCCAGAAACAATCGCCAGGCGAATTGCCCTCCTGGCTCGTTCTCTACGAGCGCTCTTTCCGTTCTTTCCCTGGCCCAGGTTTTGACGTACGATTGTTGTTATGCATGTTTGTCACATCACAGCCAAACCTCTTCATCCCCCTCCGACCCCTTCAGCCCCCTCCAACTCCCTCCAAGCCCCTCCAGCCCCCTCCGACCCCCTCCAGCCCTCCAACCCCCGAACCTTTTCCAACCCCATCCAGCCCCCTCCCGCCGCTTCCAGTTCCCTCCAACCCCCTCCAGCCCACTTCAACTTTCTCCGACCCCCTCGAACCCCCTCCAAACCCCTTCAAGCTCCCTGCACCCATCCCCAGCTCCGTCGAACCCACTTCCAACCCCTCCAACTCCCTCCAGGCCTTTGCATCACTCCAACTTCCTCCAACCCCCTCCAACCGCCTCCAGCTCCCCCCAACTGCACCTACCGCCCTGCAGCCCCTTCCACCCCCCTCCAACTCCCTCCATACCTCTGCATCACTCCAACTTTCTCCAACCTCCTCCAACCCTCTGCAACCCCTCCACCCCGCCAACCCTCAAGTTCCCTCCGACCCCCTCCAGCCTTGGAGCTCCCACTCAACGCCTTTGAACCCCCTCCAACGCCCTCGAACCCTCTCTTGGTTCTGCCGTCCTTCCCTCTCCTCCGTACCCGTCCAGGCTCTGCACCTCTCCGCTTCTCGCACTCGATATTGCTATATTCTTCTCACTCCTCCTAACGTTGCTAGGGCCTTCGCGTGAGACGTACGCTTGTTTGAAGCAGCTCGCATCTGCAGCATAACCACCTTCACAAGGCTGAGTACCACGGTGGGTGTACTAAAAGTGTCCACACCTATCTCGCCAAGACCTTGAGTTATCAAAGCATTTCAGACCAGAATGAATACCTCCTTTCCCCAGAATTCAAAGTTGACGGGTGTGGGCGGTAGGCCACAGGCCAGGGACAAAATGTGAACACTTCAATTTGGGTTTCGGGGGGGAGGAGTGCAAAGCAATGCCATTTCGTAGTTGTGGTGATCATCATGATGCGCCGTTTTACCGCCATGGGTGTGGACACTTTCTGCCCGGGCACTGTAAGCAGAGGTCCAGGGCCAGACCCACCCTTCTGCCAAATGTCGAAACGCCGAGAAACAAAAACGTGCACTTCTGTCTCTATCTCTTTCTTGTCAGGTGATTGGCCAAGGTCTTTGCGGAGAGGTGGTCCTCGCGTACAGTCGAGTGGATGGGACGGGTTGCGTCTTTGTGCGTTGTGCAATTGCGCCGACGCCGATGATGGCTGGGTGGTTCCTGCCGATCGGTATTGTGAGATTGGTGTCCGTTCTGCGGTGACTCCGAAAGTCGGAAGTTGTTTAAGTGGTTCCGCATTGTGTTTTGGCAGGGGGGGGGGACCAGCCGTCCTCCTTCCATCTGTCGCCCTTCGCTGTCACACCTGCCACTGCTCAACACTGGGTAGGACTTATATCAGCGCGAAGAGGACCAGGAGGAAGAGGATCAGCCAGGCCTATACAGAAGGTCGACTCTTCAGAATCACCGGTGACCTCGAATCCTGTCTGTCGCATTCTAGACGTTTCGCACAGCCCCCCGGACACAAATCCCAGGAGGGTAGCTTGGTCCAGGGAAGCCTGGGAGCATGCGTTAAAACCGACGGGGAGGAGGGTGGGGCAGGCGCCGTGCCACCTGCACGTTTTCTGTATCGTCGTAGACAGGTGTGGCCTCTGGTGGGGTCGGCGCGAAGACCCCCTGACAGGCGTTCTGGAGTCACGTGGAAGGCCTGGTTGGAGTCAACCGCTCACGATCCCCAGGTGGTAACCGTTGCGGGCATCCTGGAATCAGTCATGGGTCTTGTCTTATTCGAGAAGCTGCGGGCTCCCCTGCACACAGGCGCAATGCAAGTCTTCATGATTGACTCTGGAGTGCTCCGTGACAGCCAAGGGGCGCGAAGAAACCAGGAGTCAATCATACAGGATTTCCGCTCATGGTGGCCAGTCGGGTAGGTGAGAGGAAGTTTTGGAGGATGCGAGAGCAAGATGAGGGGAGAAGGCGTTGACGACAACGGCAAGGGTCGACCATAAAGGCTTCGACGGATCTTTGGGAGTCTATCGTCGGCTAGTTGGATCCGTATCGGGGATGCCTTACTGTGTTTGCGTTTTTCTGGAGTCCTCTCGGGTGTCTCTGCGTGACCTCTCGTGGCTTTCGGAGGCGTCTTGATGCCATCTTGAATGAGATCTGTCAACAAGGGCCCCCCCCACTTAGACCACCCGCCACCCCTTCGGGAACCCGAGTGCGGGCTTCTTGGAGCCCTCCGTGGTTGCTATTAGGGCTCTTTTGGGCGATATTGGGGCCATCTTGAGGCCTCAGGAACCGAACGGAAGCGAAAAGGCGAGAAGTTGACACATCATAGGAAAGTGCAGAGGCTGACAACTCTTAGAAACTCAATGAGTTGTTTTCGGATGTTGACCTCTTGGGTTCATCATTGGGAGGCTCCTGATGCCCATAGAGTCATATTGAAATCATACCGTGACCTCTTGCAGGCATGTTGGAGGCCATGTTGAGCCATGTTGTGCTCGCTTGAGCCATCTTGGAGGCAATCTTTGGGCCATCTGGGAGCCACCCTGGGCCAAGGCGTCCCGCCCAGACCTAGGGTAGGGGGTGGGCGGGTGGGGTCAGGCTACCCTCGAAGGACGACCGTCTCGCGCACGCCCACCCCCCCTCCCACCGCGTAAGTAGCACCCGAATCTCAGAGTGGGCAGGGCTGGCATCGATAACCATCGGGAACCAGGGCGCCAGCCAAGTACACAACGCTGGCGAGGGGCGCCGCGCGTGCCAGGGCACCCCCACCACCCCGGTCACATAAAAAGCGCGAAGTGTTCGCTGGGCGCCCTCGCTGGATTAGTGGTTTGCCGCAAGGAGTTTTGCACATCCAGCGACTTGCGGCAAGTCCCGCCGCAGTGCCCACTGCGCAACAGCGCAGCAGGAGGGATTTTTGAATTCTTGTCGCTTCGCGCTTCCCCACCAGCCCATCCAGGAATGATGTCCAGGGGAGCTACCCTTATCTGGGGGTGGCATCATTGGGGAGCTCGGGGGGCCCCCGTCGGCCAGAGTCTTCTTAGATGCATCTCGTTGGGATGTCTCTTGGAGGCATCTTGGCGTCTTGGGAGCCTCTTCAGGCGCCCTCGGGGGCCTCTTGGAGTACCCTTGAGACGTTTTGGGGACCGTTTGACCGTCTTCGGAGCCTCTTGGGGCGTCTTGGGTGCCGCTTGGGGGTCTCTCGGGGCCTTTCGGGGGCCTCTTGGGGGGCTCTTTGGGGCCTCTTCGGAATTTGTCCCAACCATCCTGTGGTGTTGGGTTTTCGTTTCGGATAGACAGCTCCTCGCGGTCCTCTCCCCTCCTCTCCTCTCCTCTCCTTTCCTCTCCTCTCCTCTCCTCTCCTCTTCTCCTCCTCCTCCTCCTCCTCCTCCTCCTCCTCCCGCAGACCCAACCGCGGCAAACGTGGGACTACGATCAGATCATGGCCAGGTTACGGGGGGACGAGGACTGCACTTCTCTGCTGGAGGCGATCCACCAACCTATCCTGGACAGGCCTGAAGCGGAGTGGATCAGGCTCTGCTCACGCCCTACATGTGACGAGCTGTAGAACTCTGGTGCCTCCCTCCTGGTGGCGGCGGCGGCGAAAAAGCACCTTCCCAAGCCGACGGCCCAGCAGAAGGAGAAGTCCAACTTGGAGCGGCGACGCAGTGAGACGCTGGCTCACAGACGGCGGCTACGAGAACGACACATCGGCAGGGAGTCAACCGACTACCTGGAAGTGGAGTTGCAGCTTTTACGCCTGACCTACCACATACAAAGACGGTTGGGAGAAATTGCGATTCAGACCAACGGGTTGCTCACACAACAGATCAACGAGGCGTGGGCGCGCCACGACCACTACCTGGTACAACGACTGGTGAGGAGGCTCGCCCTAAAGGGCCGAGGCTCGCGACAGCGGCGCTACTCCACCGTGCGGGACGAGAATTGCGAGCCGAGTGCAATCTCCCAATGCTTGCAACGAGATGCTGGGGGCGGGGGCCTCGCAGCACGGCCGTGCGACCTGCAAGGGGAACTACTCGAACGGTCCGACAGGGGACACCTCGATGACGAACGGGGCCGCTCCGATCAGATATGGTACGGCATCATGCAGAAGTGCGATCTCGAGCAGGCGGAACATGACATGGTGGGCATTGCCAGGGAACTTAGGAGGTTTCCGGAACGTCGGGCCACCCCAGCCTGGCCCATGCCATCAGAGCTCTGGCTTCTCCTCCTTGACCCCGGGCAATGGCAGACGTGCCAACCAGGAGGAGTCAGCAGCACCTCGTTCCCATCCACCTACCAGGGCTTCCACGAACGCTTCCTGGACATCGCAGCCAGTTTCCGCCGCTCCCGCTCAACCCCTCTCATCTTCGATGTCTCGTCCTGCCTGGGCCTGGACAATCGAAACGGACGTCTGGGCCCTGCGGGCCAAAGGTGGATCCATTTGTTCTGCCCCATCGAAAAGAGCTGGAACGCGTAATTATGGCACCGAGGGACAAGGTCTCGAGAACGTCTCCCATACAACTGCCACGGTCTCGCGAGACATCGTCGGCGTGAGGACGCCATCGCAGCGCATGCTTGCAGCTTCCGGAGATTACAGAGACAGGGGCTCTCCCATGTCATTGAGAGCGAGGACGCAACGAACGCCTTCGCCAGCGTAAGAAGAGAAGGCATCCACGATTTGATTGGTTCCTTCTGTCGCCTAGAGGACGCCCACTTCCAGCGCGAGCGCACCATCCAGGGGGCCCTTCAGGTGGAGTTTTCCGAGGGGCCGATCAGCCTCCGCCCAGCCACGGGCGAGCTCAGGGGCATCCGAATCCAGTCAGAGCCTTTCCGTGTTTTTTATATATACATATATATATATATGTGTATATTATATATATATACCAGAGGGGCATCGAGACGTTCCAGGCAGCTAGTGCGCAGACCAGTTCCAAGGGCCTTTCGGAGGTTTTGGAGAGATACCGGGGAGGCCACGGACGTAGGCGTCACTATCTATGCCGACGACGACACGAATTCGGTCGTCCTGGAGCCCTCCGAGTCTCTGGAGCCCCCGCTGACAATGGCCACGCACCTCCTCTCAGCAGCCACCGCCAGCAGCGAGAGCCCCTCGAGCGCCCCATCGGAGATAGGAGTTCAACTGAACCCAGTCAAACGTGCGTCGTTAGTCCGCGTCTGCGGCAAGCACAGCGCAGCCCAGAGCAAGCTCATACACGGGGGCCGTATGCCGTACAAGGGGGTGGTGGGCCGTTACATGCGTATTCTGGGGGGTTGGCTGACTACTACGGGCTCACTGGCGGTGGAGAAGTCTCGGCGACCCCAGGCGCGTCGGTCGGGACTTGGCCTGATTTCCACGGTGCATCCTGGGGGATACAGCGCGTGGCAATGCTTGCTGTCATTCGTCCAAGGGGCTCTACTCTCGGGCGTGGAGGGCCGCGTCCTGGACTCCTTTCCAACGGGCCGCAGGCGGTATCATGCAGCGTGCGATGCGACGAGCATTGGGGCGATCTGGTCTCGTGCTCATGTCCGATGGAGAGTCTCGGCGCTGGCCAGCCGCTCGTCTGTTTCAGCATTGGCGTGCCATCCCTATCGCAGGAGAGCTTCGCATCCGCCGCCTGAAGTGGCATCGGGGCTGGTGCCGATGCCCCACTGGACCACCGACAAGCAAGGGCTTGCATCCTCGGGGGCCAGGGCGATGGCGACTCCACCCTGGAGGGCTACACCTTGCATCCGAACGCGAACCTTCGGGCCCGCCAGATTTTCCAGGGCCTGCGCTTCGCTCTCGAGAGCTCCGAGCAATTCAGTCACTTGCTGTCGGGCGATTTCCCGCTCCTGAAGCTTCTCCATTCGGGCGACTGCGAAGACTGGGCCTATATCGATTTTACGATCTTGCGGGCCTCCTACCTCAGCAGGAATATCGCGCCACCTGGCTACGCCGCTGAGCCCCGAGGAGACGAGATACAGGCGGGCGACGTGGAGGGGGGGGGGGGGGTAGCAGGGCGGCCCACGAGTGCAAGCTGAGGGACGAGGAGGGAAGGGCGCGTGGAGCACGCTTCGCGACACCGAAGGCACTACTCCTGCGCGCGGCGAGAGCACATGGGGTACGAAACCAGGCCGCTCTTCTCTCGGCGACGAACCAGTCAGTGCTGTCGACG